GTGTAAAATATTTAATAATTGTAAAGTCACACTTATCAACGCAAGTATACGTATCGCTCAAGTAATACAGAGCTCTAACGGAGTCCTGGATATCGATCCCACAGGGAGTAATATTAGAGGCTACGAACTAAAATTTTAGAAAATCAATACTTAATCACAACAATATAGTTCAAACTGCTTATCTGTCACTAATAGGCAATTGAAATAAATATGTAATTTTAATAACTCTTAAATAAATAATTCTACTAATAAAGTTTCTAATGTGAAGTCAATATTTAAGAAAGCATCCTTCTCCTTGTCAAGAAATTAAAGTGAATGAAATTGTATTGTGCCAAATAGGAGCATGTCTATTCTTTACCCTTTGATCCAGGCATAAAAAATATTGACTAATTCTATGCTTGGCTACTGAATTTGCGGCTAAGTTTTGTGGCTAGGCGGGAAGATATCGGCTCTCCCTTCGGAGCTCCTACGTTCCCCTCGCCTGAGGGCTAATATGTACACTTCAACACCCAAACGATAAGACCAAATTGAGGATTTTAGTCTGTCACTCTAAAATCTCTAATTCAACGCCCGATAATTTTATTTCCCTATTTATTTGCACCCAACTTCCAAGAACTTTGACCTCTCTGAATCATTGATTTAAACTTCATATTAGTTGTAAAACTCAACATATTTTAACAAATCAATTGGCCAGATTGATAGTAAATTATGATCAAAGTGAAAAGATCATCACAACTTCTTTAACATTCTTAATGCTCAACCAATTCAAATCACCATTTCAGAAAATCTCAAGACAAGGAGAAAGACAGTGAAAACTGCTCAGAACTCATGAGGAAGATACAACAAAACTCGAAATTTATATATAAAAGCAAAGTCATACAAACTACAATAATTAAATACCACTTATCTCTAATTCCTCCCCAAGCAAACTCCTTGAAGCTTCTCTGAATCTCTTCCTTTCTTGACAGTACACAAAATTCTTCTTCAAAGCAGCAAGGAGGAAGAAATCTCTCACTTTCCCTCCACTCTTACAATCTCTCAAAGAATTCCTCACAATCTAACCCCAAATTAAACTCTCTACACTCTACCAGACTCTCTACACTCTCTATACACTCTTTACACTCTCTTCAACTTCCTCCCCAACTCCTCAATTATCAGCCAAAAGTTTCTCTTAAAGTGTTTTCCCAAGATAAGATTTGCCTAAGCATCCCCTAAAAAATCATCCACATTCAATGCACCTGTAGAGTTAACCACTGATCTCGTCGGCGGCGGCCTCGAGGGCGTTGTCGGCGGCCTTCTAGAATATTTAATTTTGAACTCTAAGAAAAAACCCGTCGTCGGCGCCCTAGTTCAAATCTTCATATTTTGGTCCTTTTCGCTCCAAATTCGCTCATGTTGCTCCAAATTCGCTCATGATTCGCTCATGTTTGCATCTTTTTTCTCCAATGACCATAATTCAACATACCTGCAACAAAACATCAAAAATATCCTTCTTTAAAGTGCAATATCATCAATATTAGAAAATAGGTATGAAAATCTCAACATATTTTTCTTTGGTCAGTTAGCCCCCGGGTGGAGGGAGAAGATGGAACACTAAAGTGAGAGGTAATATCCTCCTTACCTAACTCGTCTTCAAGATTATTCAAACAATAGATTAGCCAATAATCTTTATAGCATCTCTAGTAAGGGTAAAGAATATTATTGCTCATATTTGGCAAAAAATTAATTAAAATACTTCCGTAACAGAATTCTTATACTTTTTACTGATTCATGATAAGGAAAAAAAATATTTTATTTATATTACCTTCATCTTACAAATATCTAGTTAAGTTAGTTAGTTGTTTACTTTATTTTCAAATTTCAAAAATTACAAAAAAAAACAAACTTTCATTTCTATTATAGCATATAGAGTTTGTGTATGAATATTTTATTAAGTAAAATTTGTTATATAATTTTTTGTGATTTGTAGTTGCATATTGTTGTTGTCCCTGTGGGTTCGATATTCGGGGCTTAATCAAAAAGTCCTATATTACTTGATAATGATATGTATACTTGCGTAGTATCTCGTATTTAAACATTACAATTGTTTTCTTACTTGTTTCAAAGTCAAGATTTTACTTAGCTTTTTTGGGATCAAGTTTTGTCGCCGTTGCAAAGTAAGAATTATAATTAAGGAAATTAAGAATATAATCGCATGCATCACATTAACATATATAAAGAGAATTGGGATCAGTTGCCTCCTTCAAAATACCTACTCAAACCGAGTTGTATTCTTAGGTTCGAGTTTATGTTTTAATAGCTTTTAAGGTGAAATTTATATCAATTTAATTTGTGTTTTGGATTAGTTCACGTCGAATTGAACTGACCTAAAACGAGATTTCAAGTAACATGAGTTGACATAATATAGGTTGGTTTTCACTCAAATTATTTTTAAGCTTAGTTTAAACTTATCCTAATTTAAAAGAGTTAACCTAGGTTAAGTTAGGTTATTCTGATAATTTAATTGATTTGGGCTGACCCGAGGTGAGTTGGGTTGGCCCGATGATGCAGGGTTTAGGTTCAAGATGAATTGAACCTAGGAATATGGATAGGTTTAATTTAGGTTCATGTAAGGTTGAGTTTGATTTAGGTTAAGCCTTAAGTTCAAACTAACTTAGGTTCAGTTTTAGTTCGACTTAGGTTAACTTAAGTTCAATTTAGATTGAACTTAAAAATGTGGGTTAATTTAAGTTTCATTTTAGTTGAACCTAAAGTGTAGGTTGACTTAGATTTAATTTGGGTTGAAACTAAGGATGTAGGTTGAGTTAGGTTCAATTTAGGTTGAACCTAAGGTTTAGGTGAGTTAAGTTTAATTTAGGTTGAACCAAAGATTTAAAGTTCAGATAGAGTCTACTATAGGTTAGACCCATCATTTAGGGTTCAAGTTGGGTTGAACCTAAGGGTTTAGGTTAGGTTCAATGTGGGTTTAACCTAAGGGTTTAGGTTTGGTCCAATGTGGATTGAACATAAGGATTGAGGTTAGGTTCAATGTGCATTGAACCTAAGGGTATATGTTAGGTTTAATGAGGATTAAACCTAAAGGTTATGTTAGATTCAATGAGGGTTGAACTTAAGGGTTTAGGTTTATGTTTAGGTTTAATGTGTGTTTAGACCAAATTTAAGTAAAGTTTTTGGAGATTAATTAAGTCTGGTATGGGTTAGACTTTATTATGATTTGAAGTTTAAGTAAGCCCAGTTTAAGTGACCTTTAGAGGGTTAATTAGGTCTAATAGGGTTTAGAACAAATTACGTTTAAGGTTAATTAAGCCTAATTTAAGTAAGGCTTAAGGATTAACTAAATCTTATTATGGATATGAGTTAATTAAAGTTATGGTTGATTAAGCCTAATTTAAGTAAGGCTTAAGAATTAATTAGGTTTAATAGGGTTTAGACCTAATTAAGGTTTAAGGTGTGTTTAAGCCTACTTTAAGTAAGACTTAAGGGTTTAATTAGGTCTTCATGTAAATAAGACCTAATTAAAGTTAAGATTGAGTAAGCCTAATTTAAGTAAGGCTTAAGGATTAATTAGGTCTAATAAGGTTTAATGCTAATTAAGGTTTAAGGTGTGTTTAAGCCTAATTGCAGTAAGGCTTAAAGGTTTATTTAGGTCTAATAGGGTTTAGACCAAATTGGGGTTTGAAATGTGTTTAAGCCTAATTTAAGTATGGCTTAAAGGTTTAATTAGGTCTAATAGGGTTTAGAACTAATCGGGATTTGAAATGTGTTTAATCCTAATTTAAGTGAGGCTTAGAGGGTTTAATTATGTTTAATAGAGTTTAGACCTAATTAAGGATAAGTTTATGTTTAAGCATAATTTAGATAAGGCTTAAGGGTTTATTAGGTCTAAGAGGATTTAGACCTAATTAAGGTTTAAAATGGGTCTAAGCCTATTTTGGGTCAGGCTTAAAGGTTTAATTAGGTCTAATAAGGTTTAGACCTAATTAGGGTTTGAGATTAGTTTAACTCTAATCTTCATAAAGCATAAGGAATTAATTAGCTCTAGTAGGGTTTAGACCTAATTAGGGTTTAAAATGAGTTTAAGCCTAATTTGGGTAAAGCTTAAGGGTTTAACTGGGTCTAATAAGGTTTAAACCTAATTAGAGTTTAAGATCTGTTAAAGTCTGATTTGGATAAGGCTTAAAAGTTTAATTAGATCTAACAGGGTTTAGACCAAATTAAGGTTTAAGGTTTGATTAAGCCTAATTTGGATAAGAATTAAGGTCTAAGAGGATTTAGACCTAATTAGGGTTTAAGGTTTGATTAAGCCTAATTTGGATAAGGCTTAAAGGTTTAATTAGGTCCAATAGGGTTTAGACCTAATTAGGGTTTACGGTTTGATTAAGCCTAATTTGGATAAAGCTTAAGGGGTTTAATTTGGTCTACGATAAAGATGGTCGAGTTACGTGGCCGACCTAAGGATTACTGATCCTCATCGACCGAATAATAGGACAACCGGACATAAGGTTTCTTATTATTTATATGTCTAAAATATCATATAATGCCCCCATATAAGTAGGTGCAACAATTCAATTTTCTACTTTATACCGACTTGCCTATAAATAGGGATCTTTTTTATATTAAAGAGCCAATCGGTGACATTTAAAAGAACCACTCTTACTGTGCACACACTCTCTCTCTCTTCTAGTATGATTCACATGATAGATTACGGTTCAACATTTAGGATGGTTCTCATTCAAATAAGAAATGTATGATGCCTCATTTCCTTAAGAAAAGAAGTACAATTTGATTTATTATTTTATTATATAATTAATTTTTTTATATATGTATTTTATTAAATATTTTTATCTTAATGACTTTATCATATGATATTGACCGGAAATCTGCATGAACGGCTCCGTCAGCAAACTAGTCCAAACGCAATAAAACAGTTTCTGCTAGCTGCCTAATAACTTGCACTTATAAGAGCCGCGCAGCGGGCCAAGGAGATCCCTAGTATCAAGTTATCGGCAACGCAGCTCTCAAAGCCAGCAATGTCCGCTGCATTTCCCTCTGTGTTGAGGAAGCCGCCAGCTCCGAGCGCATTCTATGCTCCTTCCGACCTCTCGTCAGCCTCTCTCATCCACCAGATCATCACGGTCGCCGGCGACCTCTTAACCACCTATTCAAATCGCCGCCGGTGGCCGCTGCACCAGCACCAGAATGCCCGTTCCCTGCTTCGCCGGATTCAAGTCCTTCTCACACTTTTCGAATTCCTCCTCGAGTCTGAGCGACCGATCCCTCGCTTAGCAAAGCTATGCTTGCATGAATTTTACATCATCGTCCACCGCGCTAGGTTTCTGCTTGATTACTTCTTTCACTCGAGTCGCCTTTGGTTGCTCCTCCACACTCAGATGATTTCCTGCCACTTTCATGAACTTGAGCATGAAATCTCCATTTTGCTCGACGTTCTTCCCCTGAACGAGCTCTGCCTTTCAGCCGACGTACTGGAGCACGTCGAGCTCGTCGGGCGGCAGGTTAAGAATTCCAGGTTTTGTATTGATGTTAGAGTTGAAGAACTCCGTGTTAAGATATTGTCTTTTTTGAGTGAATTTGAGGAACAGCGGCTGCCGGATCTGGCTGAGTTAAAAATCACATTTTTAGACCGTATTGGGATTCTGGATGCCCGGAATTTCGACTCTGAGATCAAATTTTTAGAAGAGCAAATCTACAACAGCCATGAGTCCGAAGCTGAGGCGGATTCCGCCACCATTGCAGGCGTTATTGCCGTAGCTCGCTATGCTAAACTTCTTCTCTTCGGTATCCATGAAGCAGGGAAAGACAAGCGGAAACTGGGGACAAAGCCAGCAGTGAATTGTATCTCGATCCCAAACGATTTCTGCTGCCCTATTTCACTCGAGCTAATGTCAGATCCAGTGGTGGTTTCCACCGGCCAGACCTACGATCGCAATTCTATAGCGCAATGGATATCCGCGGGTCACAAGAATTGCCCCAACTCCGGGCAGACTCTCGTCAACAGCGAGCTCATCCCAAACCAACCTATGCGCATCCTAATTTCCCAATGGTGCGCATTTAACAGCGTCCCATGTTCGGGACATGGGATCAGTAGTCGTGTAGCCGCTGCCGCCGCCTCCAAAGCGACGATGGAAGCCACCCGCGCTATTTCAAGAATCCTGATACAGTATTTATCCAATGGAGACTTTGATTCGAAGAAAGCCGCTGCCGGGGAACTCCGGTTGCTGGCCAAAATTGGGAAGCTGAACAGAGTAATTATTGCAGAAGAAGGAGCAATTCCTCTCCTCTCCCTTCTCCTCAACTCTGGGAGCCCAATCGCTCAGGCGAACGCCGTCGGTGCCCTGCTTAATCTCTCTATCCACGACGCGAACAAGCGAAAGATTATAATCCAAGAAGGCTGTCTGGCCTCAATTGTAACCGTTTTACGCAGCGGGTTAACGCCGGAATCAAGAGAAAACGCGGCGGCGGCGCTCGTCAGTCTCTCTACTTTGCACGAATACAAGAAACTTATCGTGGACGAACCCGGCGGCGCTGAGGCACTTGGATGGTTGTTGAAATACGGAAGCACGGCGGGAAAAAAGGATGCTGTAAGGGCTCTGTTCAACTTGTCAATGCACCCGGAGAGTTGGGAGCGGATGGTTAATTCTAGTGCGGTGGGGGCGCTTGTGGGTGCGCTTGAGGAGGAGAAGGTAGCAGAGGCAGCGGCAGGGGCGCGCGGCGGCCAACGGTGGCAGGTTTGGTGGGTTGGGAAGAGAAGGCAATCATGGGGCTTGTGGGGGTGATGAGAGCGGGGGGTTCATTGGGTAGGAAGAATGCGGCGGCCGCCTTGACTGAAATATGTAGGAGAGGTGGTGCGGTGGTGACGGAGATCGTGGCTGGTGTGCTTGAAATGTCGGGGGTGGTGCAGACGATTTCGCTTAATGGAACAAAGAGGGCGAGGAGGAAGGCGGGGGGGGCGGGGGCGGGGTTTTGGGGGGGGGGGATTGCGCCGCCGCCGATGAGGACGATGGTTGCCGCCGTACTGCAAAAGATTTGAAGGATTTATTTTTTTCTCTCGTAATTGTAGAAAGGCAAAATTTTTAAGGGATATACTTAATTAAGTTTTTTTTTATATATATATAAACAATAAAATGGCAGAGCTCAGCTCGATCGATTTCTTCGCAGAGATCTTTTGCTAAAATCAGGCCGTCGTTTCTTATTATTGTGATGTATGTTTTTTTTTTATGAAAATTCATCTTTTCAATTCTAATATTTTCTTTGTATTAGTAATTACCAGACTAATCATCTTAGTTATATTAATGATTTATTAGTTTTTGATAAACTTGATTTCTTACTATTAACTATCAAAATAATATTTTTGAAAGTTTATATAAATTTACCAATTTGAGAATTAATAAGGATAAATTCATCCTTTGTTTTACAAAATAAATTGATTTGGATCTTCTGAATAATTTACGTGAGATTAGTAGTTTTATATTGAAATCTCTACTTGGTATTATTTTTTTTGCCAATTAATTTTTCAAAATTTCTGGCTTCAAATTGTTATAAGTTGTTAGATAAGTTAAAGATTAGGTTTATCAGTTGAAAGCTTCATTTTTTTATCTTTAGTTGGTAGACTTCAATTGTTGAAATGTACTCTTTTGAGTTAGATTTACTATTAGTTTTGCACCATTAATATTTCTAAAGGTTTGAGGAAAAAGATTTAATTCTTATGTCATAATTTTCTTTTTAACAATAGTTTCGATAAGCTCCATACTATTTGTTGCTTAATTCTTCTAAGCCTTCGATATATGGTGGCCTTGGTTTGCCTAATTTGGACCTTACGTGCAAAACTAAAATTAATTGGGGACTTTTCATTGTCCTTCTCTTTGGACTACTTGGTGCTTTAATCATTATGGCTCCATATGGATTAAGCATAGAAGTAATTCTTCTTTTTTTAGAATAATCTAGTTAAAGTGGCTTCTAGAATTAGATGTTATTAATATTTTCAAATTACCTCCCAAAGTTCTCTTTTTTTATCCTTGGCTGAAAGGTTTTTCTCTTTTTGAGAAATTTGGTAATAAAGTTACTAATTGGTTTAATATTCCTATTTTTCTAAAGTAGGTAAGTAATTTTTAATGGTAAGTGGAGCTTATCTCCCACTTGTGTAATTCTCTAACCTTGTATGAGATCTAATCACAAGATTCCTTTCATAATTTGTTCTATTAACTGTCTTTGGAAGGGTAATGATAAGTATGGTTATAAATTCACATATGGTCTTATATTTGATTACTCGACTTTTGCAAGATAGTAAAAGTATGTTTGGTTTAATGGTTACTCCATTAGATTTGCTACCATCACTTGGAGAATCCTACTTTACGGTATGAAAACTTGTAATCTGTTATCTGCTAAAGATATTACTTTATATCAATCTTATGCTTTATGCTTGAATCATAATAAATCTCACAATCATTTATTTTTTTTAATGTAACTTTGCTCACTCTTTGTTAAAGAGATGTATTTCTTATGAGAATTAATGTCTTTTGAGTGAAAATATGTTACATATTCTCTCTCAAGTGGATTATATTGATTTTATTATTATTCAGAGATTCTGCTTCCTAGCAGTCCATGTTACTTCTTACCAGGTTTGAAAGAATGGGAATGATAGAATTTTCAATAATTCATACTATTCAATAGATGCCTTAGTTTTGAAAATTCATAAGATGAATAAATGGAAGAGTAGGAGATTGAAATTTAAAGACAATATTTCTTGTTTCATTAAAGATTTTTATAAACTTTGAGTTTTTCTTCTGGTTTTTAATTTTGTTTTTGTTGTTTTCTTCTTTTTTCATGTTTCTGGGCTTCGTTTTTTGTTGTGCTTACTTGTATTGATTTTTTAATTTTTTTGTTAGGTTCTGATTTATATTGTTTATTTTATGTAGGGTTTGTTTCTTTTCTTTTGGATTTGTTTTACAGGATCGGTGCTTATTTTATACCCTCTTTGGATATAATATTGCTATATCAGTTATGACTTCTATTATTTTCTCTATGGGTGTTTTTGGTAATAGCTAGGATATACCTAGATCTTGCCATGGGAGTTGGCCATTCTTTAGAGATTATATCTTGATTTACTCAATTACATTTATCTAGTTTCATTAAATTTGGATTTCAATCATTAAATGAAATATTCATTTGGTAGTTAAGTTTTATTTGAGGTCAGCCCGGTCTGGTAGTTATTCTTATAATTTTTACTGAGATATTATATTTTTATCTCTGGTTGGAGTTTCTTTATATTAGTTTTATTTTGGCTGAGCTATATTTTTGTATTTGTATTTTATTTTGTTATTGCTTTCTTAGATTTTTTTTTGTTTCTCTTTTATATATTGATTATTTATGATTCTTTAAGATTCTTTCATTTCTTAATTCTTGGTCAAATATTTAATATTTTGGTATTTATAGCTTTTCTTTCTTTAATTTTTACTTTCTTAAGTTCATATATTTAATATTTTTTCTCTTGTTTGGTTTCTTTTGTCTTTCAAGCTTGTTGTTGTTGATACTTTTTGGGTTTTTATTTTTTTTTGTTTTGTTTTATTTAATATTTTGATTTTATGTTAATAATTATTTATGATTTTTTCTTATGTGACTGTGTTTAGGTATTAGCTGTGATGTACCCATTTCTTGTTTTGTGACTTTGCCATTCTTTATGAATTATCTCTTAGTATTAGTTTTTTATTAAATCTTGATGGAACTTCGGTTTCAACCATTTAATGAAAGGTTGTTCATTGGAATAGTTTTCCTTAGTCTTTCGGTTGTAGTTGCTTTGTACTGATTTGGTTTTGGGTGAGTAATCATTTATTTTTATTTTGCCTCTCTGAAAGTTTTGTTGTGACTTTGATTGACTATTCATTACTTTTCCTTGGGCTGATGTTGTTGCAGCTTCTGGTGGTGCATTCTGTTGTTGGTTTTATTGGTCATTCCATTGAATAATTGTTGTGTCATGGTGTTGTTCCTTGAAAATACCATAATCTAATTTCTTTAGAGAAACCATATTCTATTTCTCAGGTATTGTTCCTTGGTTTTAAAATCAACTTTTATGTTTTTTTTGCTTAATTTTGGTTTGGTTTTAGCTGAGCTATTGTTTGGTTTGTTTTATTTCACATTATGGTTTTTCTAAAAAGAATATGCTTCAATGTTTATAATAGTATAAACAATTTATGTTGTTTTCTGTTATGTTGTTGGTTTTTTCTAGTGTTGCGGATTGTTGCTACTCCGTGACATGTTGTTGTTGGTTCGACTGTTTGTTGGATGTGCTCTTTATTGATGATTCAATTGATTCTATCTTTCTAAAACCTTGAAGTTCTCTGTTGCAGATTATTGCTGCTCCCACTGACTTGGATTTTTGTTTGTTGCCTTTCATTGAGATGTTGTTGTTGCAGATTGTTTGTAATTGTTTCATTGTGTTTGATTTCTAGGTATTAGTTTATTATTTTTCTTTTATGCTTAGATTTGTGGATTGTCTTCTTTTTATTTAGTGTTGAGCTGTATTATGTTTGATTTTTTTGTACTTTATTTTATTTAATAAATTTGAGCTAGGCCCTCAATTTTCCCAATTAAAAAAAATCAAGCCATGTCAACTCAATTTCTGAATAATATATTTTAAAAATAACATTTTTAGGTCATAGAAAAAAAAGTATTCATGAATAATGAAAACAAATATTATTATGAATTTTGTAGTAATTAGATTTTTAAAGTTGAATATATATCTACAATAGGAGAAAATATGATATAACAAAGTTACTTTTTTATTATTATAGAGTGGAGTTTTGAAATGTTAAACAAATTTATGAGTGATTATGCTATTAATTAATCTTTTATAAAAAAAAATTTAATTTAAAATAATATTAAATTTACTTTGACTTTTAAATAGTTAATTTATTTAAAATAATTAGTATTTAAAATTATGAAATAATGATTTAAATTAAGAAATGATATAAAAAATATAAACAATAATGATATGGAGCCCCAAGAAGAATAGCATTTATAAACACATGAGATGATATATATATCATATTTCAATAAATTTGTCACTCCAAGTATTTTAACATACCAAGAGTGTATACAAGTTGAAGAAATTAGAGATAATTTTTAAGTACGAAAATAGTTAAGATTGTTATTTGCAGAATCGAGACGAAAGACACTTATTAATCATTTTTTTGTATGTCATTTCAAACTTAATCAAAATATGGTTATATGTAAAACATGCTTAGTGTATTCATTAAAATGAAGCAAGGAGTTGATCACAATTAATTTTTGGTTTAAGAAGATGTTTAATCCTACACGTGAACTCAATAAAGGTTTTAATTTACTAAGTTTAGTTGAGTTTCTTTTACCAATGAAAGTTTGTTGCGATCACAAATTAATTTCATTTGAAGCGTATATAATTATTATAGAATATAGACAAAAAAAAATTATTAATTGAAGAAGCACAAATACATTGGGATAACTTACAACTCATGAATAGGTTCAAAATACAGATGAAAACCACATAAAAAAGGTATAGTAGGACTGCATACGATAATTATAATGCTTTGGCTTATCACAAGTACAATAAGACTAACGATGACAAGCAAAATAGGACTACAAAATTCGAAAAGCGTTATAACTGCCTTGTACAATTTATTTTTTGTTTCTATTTAAAATTGTGTGGATTACAAGGACATGTTGATCTATTTTGTCACCAATGTTGCACAAAATATATAATTATGAATGTTATGTCTTGTTGGTTTTATCTATGGTATTTATG